GACAAGTGGAACTAGTTTACATTGGGACCATGGTTAGTGTGGACTAGTTGGACCAAAGAGCCTGTTTCCACGCTGTATGACTCTACGACTGTATGGTAGAGCAACTGCCACTGAGTTACCAGAAATACACATTTTAAAAACTATTGTACAAATTGCAATGTTTTCCCTTCAATTCATATTCTATTTCTTTATTAATTGGCAAACTAATTTATTTTGCATGTTATTTCAGCTAATAATACACAGTAGTGCGCTGGTATGGTACAGTATATGGATTGCGTATTTTTTTTTCTGTGCAAAATGTCCAAAGTATCATAACTTTGACTTTAACATTGATTCCTGCGGGAACTTATGATTCATATTTTTTTTTCAACAGGCAATTATCGCAAATGCAACCACAACGTTAACTTGACACTTGCCATATCTTTAAGTTGTTGGTGAATGGATGCTTTTCTAATTTGTTTTATCACTAGCTTCAAGAGAAAAAACTGAATGAAAGAGTGAGATGCTTCTCCAGCTCCAGTTACAAATCTGTATTTTTCTTTGCTGTTGAGCCACAGCTGCATTCATGCATTCCCGTGTCTGGGTTTTCTGAGCTGCATAATTTGACCCTTTTATTTCAAAATAATTTGACCTTTTATCTCACATGAAGTTGAACTAACCTCTGATTAGCTGATTGCTGTGACCATTTTAAGTCAATGACTTCCCTTTTTTGAAACAATTTTACTTTCTGAACGCACTAAGAATTAAAATCAAATGATGGCAATCAAACATTGAATGTCCATATTTTACCACTATCATGACAGTGTGTAATGTTTACTAACTTTACTCCTGAAAGGATTCTTTATAATCTTTGGATAAAACACTTGTCTTAAACTATACCATCAGCAGTAATGGTTTATCTTGATCTACTCTTTCTGTTCTCCTTTTACATCTTGAAATCATCGAACAAGCTACCCTTCTCAATTTAGGGAAATGTTTCTCTAATCTTCCCTTGCAATTTAAACCTAAGACATCAGGTATCATTGTGGTAAATCAACGCTGCACTCCCTCAAGGGCTAATATTACCTTTCCAAAAGTGCACTGCGCAGAATTGCTTTTAGTACTCCCAAGTGTGACCTAACCAGGAATCTATGTTTCTCAGCAGTTCAAGAAGAAAACACATCATCACCTTTTATGTGTTTAGTGTTTGACAGTAAATATCAATCGTAATAACCAAACAAAATCGCAGCAACTTCTTCAAAATCCTGTTTTTTAGATAGCACCTTCCACAAATCCAAAAGATCTTTACAACTGTTGAATTAGTTTTAAAATTTAAGAGGCGAATTTAACTTGTTATTGGTGGCTCAAATGACACCACATCTGGAGAAAGGAAATGCAACAAAATTTAGATGGTTTCAACAGCCAGGCCAGAAGTTAGGGATGTACATTAGGGGGAGGTGCTACTATCAAAGACTATTCATCGAGAATCCCAGTTTATTTTCTGGGGAGCTATGTTAGAATCCTGCCATGGAAGATGGTGGAATTTGAATTCATTTAAAAAAAAATTTGGGTTAAGGGCCTAATGATGACCCTGATGATGACTGTCAGGAATAAGACCCATCTGATACCCTCATGCGCTTTATGGAAAGAAATCTATCATCCTTACCTGGTCTGGCCTACATGTGACTCCAGATCTACAGCAATGTGATTGACTCTGAACTTCTCTCTGGCTAGTTAGAGATGGACAATAAATGTTGGCCTAGCCAACAACACCCACATCCTGTGAATGATTAAAAAAAACATTATTTTCTGCCTGAAGCTGGCAGGAATGATGTAGAGTCAGCAGGAGTGAAGTGAATTTTGCTGAGACTGAACAGAGTTGACCCTGCACTAAGGTAGTTGGTGGAGGGAGTGTATGTGGGAAGGGACTGCTTGCAGAGATGATGCAAATCTGGGAGAGGAGACAACCAATCATAGCAAGAGGTGCACAAATGTCCTTTGAAGGGCTTAAAGATGGCCTGATTTTCCGGGTGCTCAATGTTCCAAAAAATTAATTTGTTTTTTGAGGATGTTCTGTTTCCCACTAAGGGGTGGTTTGCTATTCTGGGAATGTCCCCCTGATTTCCAGTAAACATAGTGTTGTGTTAAGTTGTGTCAGCACATCATAGCATTTACATTTAAAATAAGCACTCTTCTTGATTGGGGGTCTCGATTGCCTTGAATGTTGACAAAGGCTGAGCAAGGATAGAGAGATTTCATGCTGCTAAGCTACCTTCCCCAATTTATTGCTACCATTCACCATTCCCACCTATTAAGTGCAGCAGTCAGTGATTAAAATCACAGTTGTTCGTGGGAAAATGTTGCAGTCAGATCCAACAAACAACAATCAAAGAAATTGCTAGTCAATCTGCTTTTGGTAGCTTGGTCAAGAAACGAACATTGAGCCAGGACCATTCCCTGTTAAAGTGGAGTGGTGGTGGGAGCTGAAGTTGACATTAATTTCAGGCAGTCCACTCAACGCCTACTCCCCCACCAGAGGAAGGAAGTTGAATGGGGAATGGGAAAACACTAACAGCACTGCACCCTATTTAGTAGTTCTACCAGCTTGCTTTTCTACCTGTGGGTGTCCCATTAAATTCAGATAATGATGCTGGAAAAATGTACTTACACATGATAGCTGTCACATGATTGGAAACAGCGTGTTATGTCGCCAATTACTTATACGGAATTTACCTATTCCTGATTTTAAAAAATCCATCTGAAGATATCAATTAAGCTTGAATCTTACATGAAAGACTGTGCCTGAAAATACAGCAATCCCTCTGTACTAAACTGAAGTATCAGCTTAGATTGTATGTTTGAGTAATGGATTAGGACTGATACTCTCAAACATCTAATGCACAGAAAACTGCTTTCAATGAAGACAATTTAACGGATGTCAGTGAAACTAGTTAAGGAAAGAGCATTGGCGGCACTAAATTCAGATACAATTATCATCGAAAGATAGGCTGTAATCCTGTGTGGTATATAGGATAAGACAGTGTTTTCAAGAAACAAGGTGCTGTTCAAACATGTGTCATTGAAATTCTAAAATTTCTTTAGCTGATGTGCATCGCAATTTACTCATTTTAATTTACAAAGTTAACACTGTAAGTACATAAAAATTTATTTTTGTAGTTGGTTGTTTGCTTTTTCATAGACTTGGAACACATTTTGAAAATACTGCTGCCTCTGTTAGAGGTTTGCTTTTATGTTTTATGTCTTATTTATTTAAGTTGTTTCAAGTATTCTGGAACAGCATTCAAACAAAAGTAGAACCAAGACAACATTCATAGAATGAGTAAAACTTCAGCGTTCCCTTAAATTGGGCACTGCTTCAATTTCTGAGGGGAAATGTTTTAGCCAGTCCTCCTTCTCCTGAACATTATCTAAGAGATTCCTATCGCGAAGTGTGAGTGTGGATTTTGGCCGGGTACAGCTTTGGACTTAGGTGTCATCTTCTGTCTCATTGTTTTCCAATGAAACTGGCATATGGAGGATGACAAGTTAAGCCAAATACTGAGGAGCAGCCACTGCCTGTAGAATTTTAATCTGACTGTATGTTCAAGAAAGGCAAAGAGACATAACTGGTATCTCAGCTTTGAGATGATCCGTCACATGGAGGATCTTCTGCACACTGAAGATGACACCTCCAGCCTTTCACAGAAAGCCCAGTTGAGTACACATGGATGTTTGAAAAGCAACATCCCAGAACAGCAAGGAGGAGATTACAAGGTGTGGAGCTGGATGAACACAGCAGGCCAGGCAGCTGACATTTCGGGTCTGGACCCTTCTTCAGAAAAAGAGGAGATTAGCTTGATTAACATTAATACAATGGGTGCATGGACTAGAAGGTCAATCTTCTGTGCTAATTCTACTGAGTCCAACAGCAGAATTATATTCAAGGTTAATGTATTGTCATGCACCCCAGTGATTCCAACCTGCATGTGAGCCAGTCCAATGGGCTCCAGGATACTGTGTCAGTGCTAGCTGTGCTATAAGGTATGTTTTTGGGGCAATACCAGTTTGTGGTGCAAGGACATAGAGATGGATAGAAGCTTTTCTACCTTTGGCATTATAGTGTGCAATTCGATCTCTGGATATCATATTTTAGTTTGAATGCTCACTTTGAAAATTGTTCAGTGAATATAACTATATTAGTTGCAAATCTGCTGTGTGCTTTGGCAGCAATGCAGACCAGAAAATAAAGACAGAGGCCAGCGTACACAATTTGCACCACTCCATCTTCTATTGTTATCTGTCTTGTTCCTGAGGTTATTGAAATCTTGTTGCTATACTTTTTCTAGCATTGAGTATTCTGCTACCTTATTTAAGGGGTTTTTTTTCTTGGAAAGTCAAGATAGGACACAACAACAAGCTATTTGACAGTGGAGGACAGTGCAGTTGCAAGTTCTCTTCCAATGTCTGTATCCACACGTTTGGAAATCCTAACTTTTCATATATTTTTGTCCCAAACTATTGCAATCATTCATCATGTGTCTAACCTTTGCTGAGACTAGTTACTGCAGCGCAAAGTGGGAATGAATGTCTATATCAGATAGTTCTCAAAGCATTTTAAGTCTTTCAGAGATATTATTTTATTTATCATGGGATGTGGACATTACCAACTAGACCAGGATTTATCAACCATCCCTAATTTCCTCAAGTCAACCACATTGTTGTAAGTTTGGATCACATGCGGGCCAGACCAGGTAAGGATGGCAGATTTCCTCCCTGAAGAACATTGATTACTCAGACGGGTTTTACAGCAATCAGCAATAGTTGCCTTGTTGCTATTAAGATAGGTTAATTTTTAATTTTTATTGAACTTGCATTGCACCATCTGTCATGTTGGGATTCAAACCCATGTCCCCAGAATATTAGCCTGGAGCTCTGGTTTGTTATTCCAGTGATGTTACCACTATACTACCGCCTCTCCTTTAGTTGTACAGTTAACATTAGCATTATTGTCTGGTCAACAGGGATTGCAGCTGCACCATTTTTGGCTGATGAGGAAGCCCATCGCTTCATCCGAAACAAAAGGCAAACTGATACAATGCAAGGATACTGGGACCCAAATAATGCAAATAATGTGTGGGGAGTCACTCAGGCAGAACACGTAAGTCTCACATGTGATGAACTCTGATCTGGTTGAGTGAAGTAATTCACCCTCATGTTCTTCAGAAATCGGGATGATTTTTATATGATTGTAAGAAACAAATAACTTAGGTTAATGAGAGAATCAACCCCACAATGCGCTGGGCTCTCCTTTATAGACTGAGGGAGATTTGAGTGGGAAGATTGTATGCCTGGAGGAATTTATCTGTTTGGATTGATCCCTGGAGACACCTTGAGTCAGCCACTGTAGTTATGTGAAGTTCTGAATGAGAGCATATGTCAAAACCAATCCATGGCAGAAATCTCCATACGAATGATTGGAGACATGACATGCTGTTTCCAAACATACGACAGTTATCCCATGTAAGTGCATCTTTCCAGCATCACTGGCTGAATTTTGTGGGATAACCACAGGTGGAAAAGTAGCCTGTGGGATCCACAAAATAAGGTGCAGTTCGCATTGTCCATTGTGCCCAATGCCCACTCAACCTCCTTCCACTGATGGAGGGAGGTGGTGAACTGCCTGAGATTAAAGCTGACTTCAGGTCCTATTGCCATTCCATATTAGCAGGAAGTAGGATAATCTGTGCTGGGCTCCCAGCCCGGCTGGATGGTTCTGCAAGGTACTGCTCAGAGAAAGGGAGGATACTGCCTCCTTTTTGGGCCACTTTGGGTAGACCTGCCCTCATAGATTTCCCCCCCATTGCCCACATCCTGTCCATCATAGCTCTACACCCACCTGGAGGAGGCCTTACAGCAAGCCATGGCAAGTTTCCAGATGAGGAGCATAAAAGGTTTCTCTTCCTTCCAGACTTCTGGCAGCACTGGCAGTGGTCACTACCCCTGGTGGCGATGCCAGTACTTGCAAACCAACTGACCTCCAATCAATTGGCAGTTCTATGAGGCTAAACCTCCTACTGGAGAGACATGGCAGTCTTGCCTCGTAATAAGTAAATAAGGCTCTTCAGCAAAATGGAGGCAGGCTTGATCCTGACATTTGCGCTGAAGCATGAGAAGCCTGCCCTGAGTGTATAATCCAGCCTCCATGTCTGACAGATTTACTGCTGCAGTTCGTTAACAATCAATTTTATCATATAGCTACAGGATGAAGTAGCTGCACTGGGTGGTTATTTTATTATTTTTAACAATAGTCATGTTTGAATGCATTGCAACCTATTTAGGATTCATTTTGAAATGGAAAGCTATTGATCAAACTGTTTGCAGTCAGTTTTGACAACATTGTTGTGTTTCATGAGAAGGTGCAGGTCAAATACAACTTGTTAATTTGTCTGCAGAAGACCAAAAGAATTATTTACCATTGACACACTTTAAGGAGAGGGTTTTTACACAGAGGTGCAAGTTAATGAATCAATCTTGCAGTGTTGTGGCCTTATCTCTAACCTGTGTTGCTGAATTTTCTTTTAGCTTCCACTAGGCAGTGACATAGTCCATCGTAATTTCCTTGACACATGCCAAAATGGTTTAGGTACATCGGGAAATAGCAGATTTGTTAAATGACTGTGATGTACTTAATGACTTAATTTTTAATGAAAATATAGTTAAGTGGCATTTAGTCTTGATAATGTTGCTGATTTAAAAATATAATTCCCAATATTCAGACAGCTCTTAGTAAGAGAAAGCAGGTGGACTGGTTCACTGATTTAGTATTCCCTTCTGAGAATCATCCTTGAACATGGCCTGAAATGGAGATGTGAACCTCAATTCTCTGAAATCTGCCATTGTCAGGTTAAACTGTCAGTTTAGAGTGCGGAGTCACATTTCTTTTATTTTATCTGTTCCAAAGGATACACTTGGAAGAGAAAAGAAGTGAATTATTTTGAGTAGCTAATTCTTAAAACCTTTCCATTAATATCTTATCACAGCTTTGCAAACATTTACCAAATACTGAAGAAATGTGAAAATTAATTCAGACAGCTATCAAGTTTGGAAGTTTTGAAATATCTGTTACAGTGTCTTTGCACCCACACAAATAAAAAACAGTTTCAAATTTAGGGGCAAACTGTACTAATTGCAAGCGCACATAATTACAGGATATTCAGTAGTCCAATTGACCAGGTCTGATTCACTTTCCCAATGAATGCAGTTCCTCCAATTTGATTATAGAGTCTGAATACACTTTACAATAAGCTATGAGCATAGAGCCCAATTGTTTAATCCTGGGCAGGTGACGTGTAGCACTTGCATGTAAATTTAAGTGACATTATTTCTCTTGCTACAGTTTTGACTGTTGCATGAAGTCTTTCTAACCCCATTGCTCTTACCTGGATTTTTTTTTGCTATTTGTGGCAGACGTCCTGCAATTTTGAGGAAACATGAATGATTCTGATGTACAAACATCAGGCAGCCTTTCTAAAGGAAGCTTGTTCTTAAACATACAGAATAAATAACTGAGGGCAAGGATTGGATGCATAGGGTAATGTTAGTAACAATTGTTCATTTATATCCCTGCTTCCAACGTGAGGGAATATCCGAAAGACACTCAAAGTTGACATCGTGCACAGAGTGAAAATGTAACTTATAAAATTTTGCAGAACACATTAAAAGTTATGATCTTAGTTATTTCAGTTGACGTATCTTTCACGTTAGGCATGCTCTACTAACTTACCCTGTGTTTATTAACTGGTGTCTTCCTCATTTTCCTAGTGGTATGAAAAGCTATGGGCAATTTTGGAGTAACTATTTGAGTTTGCACTCCTGGCAAGGATGAAGTCGAGACTAAACAAATAGAAGTTGCAAATGCAGCCCAAGAAGCAGGGAGCATGCAGACATCACTGTGGCTGTTCATTTAAACTGTTTTGATATGAACTCAGTTTTAAACATCCTGCTGAGCAGCTGGACATCCTGACAGGTGATGCCGAGAGTGATCACTCATATAGACATGTCAACTGAGTGATATTCCATGTAAGCGAGCTCTTACTACACACTAGAAAGAATTCTCATCTTGCAGTTCACCACTTGGTTGGAAAATGGGACATTTTGCTCTTGACATCAAGAAGTTCCTCACTGGACGTCTCACCTCATTTTCCAAACCTTCACAACCATGGCTGCCATCACTCAGAGGCTGGGAAGATTCTGCCCAAAGTTTCAGTTTGATGACCTTTTGTCAGAATTAAATGAAAAGGTTTAAGCTGGCTAATGGGTTAAAACTAGACTGCACTACTCAAATCTTGCCTGGACCATTTAAGCAGAGGGGTGTTGTGAATGGAGCAGGTGCTGGGAAAGGCAGAAGGATGGCACAACATGGTATGTGGTCTCCAAGATTTTCCCATGTTGTACTAGAGGCCTTGATACAGAAGATGGAGAGGAGGTGATCAATCATTTATTCAGACAAGGTTCTTCAGGCAAACTTTGCAAAGTCCATGGGACTCCAGACAGCTATGGTGGTCAAAGCTAAGTGTCTAGGCTCTGGATACAGAACTGATAGAACTTCAATGGCCTTGCATGGGTAGTCAAGATCAGTGAATATATCTTCAAATGGCAAAGTCTACTAACCTGCCTCTCACATTACTCAATGCGCCACATTTGAATTACTCATCTGTCAACCACAACTCACATCTAATATTCATAGCATCACTTCACTCGTACTCATATCTCACACCTTGCAAACACTGATAAAGCTGCTAACAACTGTATCTACCAATCAGTTTGTACAAAATTCAATGAAAGACCTCCTTATCTCTTGCAAAATAAGGTGGTCCATTGTAGTAATCAGTAGGTAGGAGACATTGTTGTGGTCCTTTCCCAATGATATAGAGAGTGTTTGCCATAGAGCGGCCTTGACTGAGGTTGTGATCAGCAGTGGGACTGGAACCAGCGAATGTACTGGATCCTTACATCTGAACCTCCTTCTCACATTGCTTCTGCCCACTTTCCCACAATTTGACCTGATCTAGAAGCTGCTAACATTGTGAGGATACATTTCTTGTTTTAGTCTTCTCACGTCACCGCAACTGAGCATTAATATCCTTCTCGTTTCCTGCGTATACTAGAATGACTACTTAACCAGAAGATGGTGGTGAGGACAACATTCTGTTTCTTGCTCTCACATTCACGGAAATCAACTCAGATACTGAAATTTTGAGTGTAGCTTAAATTTGAGATTTGCACATTGTGAGACATTGAGAGTAAGTGACCTGTAAGGAGTGCAGGTGAACAAAGAGACAATAGTTCCTTGAAGGTTGAGGTTACACACAAGTCCTGTTCTGGGAGACTCACCTGTGGATGTTGCTTTGATGGTCTTCAAAAGAAAAATGCTTCAAAGATTGATCACAGGCTTTCTGGATGCTAGTAATGTCAAGAATCATTGAAGACATTGGCAACAAGTTAGCACAGAGCTTTGCACATGGATTGAAACCTGATCGCCATGAGTCTGCTTGTGGATTTGACCCTGATGCATTGTCAATGACTGATGTTGTTTCCAAGGAGCAAAAACAGAGATCACCCAACACCTTGTTGCTATGGTGGTAGCTCAGGCAGAAGTCAAGACAGTCAGCTGGCTGCCTAGCAAATTCTGATCACTGCTGTCAAAGTTGTGTGCGAAAGTGATTGGGAATTGCAGAGTACCACAGTATTTCAGCAAACAATCCTCCAACAGATTACTGGGATTGCTGACCTTTGCCCTAAGGCAGTGGCAGGGTTTGTTTGCCACACAGGAATGACAGTATTTAGCTCCCACTATGGCCACTCTGCCTGTGGTTCTGTCTGTCAACCATCCAGCCCAGGTTGTTGCTGATCTTGCTGAAGGGCTGCAGTTTGAAGCTGGACTGTGTAGGACAAGAGTTGCTCAACACTTTTGCGAAACCATCTGTAATCTCCTCTGCTGCAATGTAACAGCCACAGAGGCAGCGCGGTTCAGGAGCACTTGGGCTGGCAAAGGCAATTGGAATGCAGATATCAAGGGTATTATCAAAGCGATGGCCTGACGCATGCATGGTTTGGGTGATCAGCCCAATTTGGAATGCTTATTTTTGAAATGCTTTA